TGGCATGGGCCTTGAGACAGCAGTGCACAGGGATGAAATCCACACACAGTAGATGCGGACAGAGCTAGACTGGCCAGGCACTGGCCATGCACTGTTAGGGCAGGGACCAGGCCTGTCTTTTCCCCATTGGACACTCAGCCCCCAGTGCAGTATCTGGCACACCATAAGTGCTTAATTAACTTCAGTTGTTGCAGAAACACCTGGGTTCAAATCCCAGAAACCTTAATTACTAGCTCTGTCGCCTTGAACAAGTTACTTGATTTATTTGAGCATAAGTCTCCTCATCTATAAAATGAGGATAACAGTATCTACCTCATATGGTAATTATAAGCTAAAAATGAACACATATTTAGCACAATTTCTGGTACACAGTATATGTCCCATAACCATGGGCTATCATTATTTTTCTACAATATTAAACACAGGTCCACAATCACTTATCCAAAACTCTGGAGGCCAGATGTGTTCTAGAATACAGAATTTTTAAGGTTTTAGAAAGGTAAAATAGTGCACAGTTTTATATACATATAAAAATATCTATACCCCCTAGAACAGAATCTGGGGCAGCAACCACAATCAAACATATTAATACTTTTGCAGCAAACCATGCCCTAAGCAAGTAAATAAAGACTGTAAGTAGTCTCACGTCAGTTCACTTCAGGTCAAATAACAAATGAAAAACAGTAGGTTTTCAGAGCTTTGGGGATTTTGGAAATGGGAAGAAAGGACTATGGGACTCTAGTCACAAAAAGCACCTGGTCCCCCTAGGATGGTTTTTTTCCACCGAGCCCACTAGAAGGGCAAGCGCCTGCACTTCGAGGATACGTGAGGCTGCATGGTACTGCACCGTCTGGCCAAATAAAAGCTGTCGAGACGAACTGGGAAAGCTGCACAGCACAGGTCTCCCTCAATTCCCTCCAGGCAGCCCAGGCAGCCTCTCCAGGTCAGATCACGCTTACCTTTCATCCCTTCTCACCTGAAGAAGAGAGGAGGGAAAAAAACAAAAGTGGCTGGAGGTATATGCAGGAATCTACTCCACCATATTTCTCTTTCTTCAAGTTTTAATCAAGGGTGACATGAAGGGGAGACCAGATCAATGAGGGCAGCCATATTCAGATTGTTTCTTATCTTTATTTTTAAATGTCTGAGTAATCTAGAAAAGAAGCCTCATAAACAAGAAGAGTCTCCCATCTCCTTCCGTGTCTCCCATGGGCACTGTGACAATACAGAAAACCTACTAAGTCCTTCCGGGTTGAACAGCACCCCCACGGTGTAGCCCTGTGGTGTTCCGGATGCGTGAGGGCATTATTTAAATAAGCGAATACTCAATCCCCAAAATGACTTCTATTACCCAAGAAGGTCCAAAGCTAGGTCACAGCAGATATCAGTGGTGCTAACAGAATACATATTGACCCTAATATGAGTCTCAGTGAGAGAGCTAAAAACGGCAAGTTTTCCAGAACTATCATACAAAATGCTCCAAACAAACTGCGCTCTCTTCAACCTAAATGAATGCTCCCCCCATTCCCAAATTATACACAAATTACAAGCCTTACTCTTCTCCCAGATGAATCACGAATGGTTCTCACCACTGAACAAAAAGTATGTACACACAGCAGGTGCTCAGTGTTCTGGTTCAGGGACTGGCAACCACGATCCATGGGCCAAACTGGTCCTCCACCTGTCTCTGTAAATTAAGTCTTATTGGAACACAGTCATCCTGTTCATTTACGTGTTGTCTGTGGCTGCTTTTGCACTATAACAGCCCAAACTAGTTGAATATTGGCAAGAAGACCATACAGCCCAGCAAGCCTAATGTATTTATTATGAGGCCTTTAAGAAAGTTTGCTGACCCCTGTTCTTATGAAAAGAAAAAGGAGCACTGGCTAGGAAATCAAAGAGACCTATATTGAAATCCCATTTCCATAATCACTAGTAGAAATTACCTCATAATTCTGAGTAATTTCAGTTACCTCAGGTATAAAATTAGGATGCCACTATCTATCTTGCAGGGGTGTTATGAAGACTAAATAAGATAAGACAGATAAAATCACTAACACATAGTAAGTAAGCAATAAATGGTAGCTACTAAACTGTAATTAATACCAAATAAATTTGTCCACCATGTTAAACCTCAAATGTAAAATAATTCAAGCTCCACCCAACTATTTTTTTTAAATAAGACACTGGGCTGGCATTCATCTACTTTCCCTGTTAAGAAAAGGAACAACACCACCCAAGTACTATTGTTTTGCAAGGCCAAAATTACTTCCCTTTTCTCCTCTTGTTAGTCCTTAATTTAAAAAAAAACTATTTCAAGAAGCCAAGCTTCAAAATTTGTTTCATATGAAGCAAATCTCTTCAACCCATAATATACAAAACATGTCAAATCAAACCTAAAATGTACCTCAGGCTCTGAATGAGAAATCTTGATCTATGATTAAGGAAAAAAAAAAAGGTTAGAGATCCCTAAAAGAAAAGTTTCCATATTTTGGTAAAGCTACTGGGAATACTTGCTGAGCAGTCTCTCTAAGTTCCTGAGTTCACTCACGTGACCAGTACTTGTTGAGCACCTACTATGGTCCAGGCTCTGGGCTCCAGGTGTGCACAAGGCACATTGTCACCACACTCAGAGAGCTTATAAACAAGTGTGGAGGGGGTGCTCAGCACAGTGTACGATTAGCACCACAAGTCAGGGCCCTGACTGCAAAGCTATCTGTATGAGGTCATGTCAGATATTAGAGCTTGAGGCCTCCTGAGAGATTAGCTAGCCAAACACCTGCATTGCACGGACAGGTAAAGTGACTTGTCTGTGATTACTTGCAAGTGAGAAGCAAACCTCGTCTTCCTGACTTTTCTTTGCACCAAGCGGTCTTTCTTAGAAATTACTTCACAAAGGGTCAAGTCTTAATCTTTCACTCCTTTGTGACCCTGCAAATGCTATTCTGAAAAAACTTCCCAATCTTCAAAACCCTGGATTTCTCCAGGCAGTGTTAACTTTCTTCTTCTGTCTTCCCACCAAATTCTGTGTCTACTATTGCACACACTGTATTGTATTGTAACCATTTGCTTATTTGTCACTGCCCAGCCCCAGACCATGAGCTCCTTGAAGATAAGAAACAAGTCTTGACAGCGACTGCTAATGTCTGAATGTTGATTATGTGGCAGGTGTGTGATAACTTTATACACACTCTCTCATTTAGTGCTTATAATAACTCAATTATCCCAACATCACAGATGAGGAAACTAAAGCTTGGAGAGGTTAAAAAAGCTCAAGCAGTGTAGCAGACTCTGTAGGTTACTTATTTAATATCCGTGTTACCCCAGTCCCATCCCTAACCTCCTCCTTCCTAACAGGAGTCTGACCTTGTTCAAGTATTTCCCCCTCCTTCACACGGCCAGATGCTTCATTCAGTGGAGGCTGGACCCCTTCTTAAGGCCAGGAGGTTAAGCACGACAGTCGAAAGCAATCATGGACACTCGTCAATTTTCCAGTGATGCTGGAGTGGGCACACAAAGCCATTGTGGCCAACGTGATGTAAAAAAGTCTGCCGGCATGCTTCTGAGAAAAGTGTCCTCTCAAGTAAAAGACACAGCAGACACTCTTCTTCCCTAGACATTGCCTTAACTACTGCAGACTTCTTAAATTCTTAAAGGAAATTACTCAGTCTCCTTATAGTAACTTTTAAGTCAAGGGAGTCCATTTCAGCCAGAAGCATCCTAATATGCACATAGAAAGAGTGGCGGAGCCATGATTCAAATACAGACAAGGTGACTTCACAGCCTTCAAAAATGTATCGACCAGACTCTATCACCTCTCATTTCTGTCACATTCCCACCATCCAGCACCAAGGCTGAGCACATAAGAAGCACTTGTTAACTTCAGCTAAGTGAATAAATAGATGAATGTAATAAAATTTTAAGCTCAGCTTCCAAAGACAGGATAAGTTTTATACCTAGTTGTAAGTGAAATATTAGGGTCTTAGGTAACATCATTAACAAGTATAAAGCCAGCTGATTCTTAGACAAGACCAAGGTTTAATGTATTTGGAAAACAGAGTCTGTACTAGAGCCAACAAAGGAATCCTATAAACACCAGTTTCCAAGTCCAAATCAATCTCAGAAGACTGGGTCAATAAAAAAACACAAAAGATTCTGTTTCTGTAGGCCCCTTTCACAATGTCTATCGCACCTATTAGCAGTCATACAAAGTTCCCACTCTTCCTTCCAGGTCAACCTTGATCCAAAGGAGCCACTTCTTGGCAACCTAAAAGACAGTATGGCGGGTGGCAGGCAAGGAGACAGAACTACACCTCTGCAGCACTTCAAGTCCTGTCCAGTTTTTATTCATGAAAACTCAGTCCTTGAATGGTAATATGGTCAACCGTCACAATTCATTTGGGTCATGGGAGCCTGCTGCCCCCTCCCACCCACTAAGAGCACATGAAGAGCCTTGATCTTTAGAACCTGAAGGATATCCTCCAGGTCCGTACTCACAGGTCATAGAAGAGTCCTTGGCAACCCATACTATTTCTGGCCAGGTCCCTGGTCCAACTTCAAAACAGTGACCTGAAGGTAAAATGCTCCACCATCCTATTACCATTTCCGTCCCCCAGAGAAAATCAGTGAAGACATATGTGATTCATGAAGGGCCACTCACCAAGGTCTCATGACCCATTCACTGCAAGACACAATATTCACTTTAACTTTAAGGCTGCAAATGCTTGTAAACTTTCCAACATAAAAGCCTCTCTTGATCTGTTCACTTAGCCTTCTCTCAAAGTGCTAACAGATAAGGATTTTCTGATCGCCAACAAAAACCAAAGAAAACTCTGCTTGCTCTAGAATGAAATGTCCAAAAGCCACAACCTGACTGAGTGTCTTATTGGAAGCCAAGGAATCATGCTGATTGCTCATAAAGGACTTTTTTCTAAAGACCAATTTTGATCCACCAAGGCAGTCCGGCCACCTATAAGAGTGCCTTCTATAGCACGGCTTACCTTGTAATTGCTAGAGTTCACCCAAGAGGTAGCGAGTCCATCCACGAGTTTATCTAACATAGTCTGGTCATGCTCAAGGTCAGCAGACTTCTGTTTGTCTGAAAAATAGTCTATAAGTTCTTGGCCAACCTGCAGTCGTTTCCCCACATCCTTCTGCAACACCTGTGCCAGGCAGGACTCCATGCGCGGCTCCATGATGGAATTCAAATCCAGATGCAGCAAAAGCTAGGGGGCAGTCAGGGTGACACCCTCCCGGTAAACGTATCTGGGAGGTTGCCTCTTTGTTTGCTGAAGGTTACTAAGAGCCTGTGTTTCAAAGATGCAATCCGGGGAATGGCAACAATGCACCATGTGTGTCTGAAGAGCAGCTGGTAGGATATTAAAAGTCCAATTTAAATAACTAGTTGGAGATAAAGGAGTGAGTGGCAGAGTGATGTTCTACTATTGGGTCTGAAATACTTCATAATTCAGCAGTCCATTCTGAAAAGTAAGAGAAGAGAATGACAATCAGCACAGATAACATAACACTCAAATATTATGAAACATTAAATCAAAGACAAAGCAGTTCACACTGTAGAATCATTTATAATCACAAGTGGCTGAGAACCATGAACGCTTGGCAACCATATCAGAATAACAATTATTATTTTTATCAGGAAGAACATCGAAGCCCAAAACAAAGAGCCAATGAGCTCTATGGTTGGTGGGTTGATATTTTTCACAATTTTCCAGATTGTAAATGAACCAGTCAGGAAAGCAATCTTTTGCTTTAGCTAGCCTATTTATTTGTAGCTTAAATTTTGCTTCCCACTAAAACTCTACCACCACTCTGTGTCTGAATCACCGCAGGTACAGTAGCTTATTGCCTCACCCTCAGTTTTCTAAAAAACCAAGTGCTGGAAACAGGGCAGGCTCCTTAGAAACACCACTGAGCAAAGTGGCCAGCCTGGCAACATTAACCAAAGTCAAAGGCAGCACCTACACTGAACTTCTTGCTCAGCAGCTTTACAACCGGGTGAGCAGTAGTCCCTGCCTCCTTCTTCCTCCCACAAGGAAGAGTGACAGAGGGAGAAAAAGAAACAGGCTCACATTCTGATCAGTTATTGACACAGTATTCTCAGCTGACAATAGCCCCATTTGGGCCTGGTGTTTGTTATAAAATCAGGCGACCTCAAAATCATGTTTGGGGTGGGGCAAAACAGATGACATAGGGAAAATACCAAAATCGTTTTCACTAGACAAACTGAACAAGCTGACCAGTTAATCTGCTGGACCAATCGTACACATTTATTTCTTACTTCAACTTCTTCTCTCATTTCCTTTCATTCTAACCTAAGAAGACCCACAGAAAACCTGTCTTCAAGATGCAGCACCTCCCTGACACTGTACTAAATAGAAACGTTCTTCACACAACAGTAAATCCCAGCTTTCAGGGGTTCAGCAGGTAAATATGTACTTCTAAATTAAATAAAATTAAAATTCCATCCAGGTAACTTTTCCAGGCTGAGCACAGTAATGCTTTGTAACATCATCCTACTGATCCCTATTCTCAACATAAAAAGAACAATGTTCTTTCTTGAGTTCTAGAATCAGAGACTTTTGATACCAACAGGAATCATGTAAGTAGAGTCTAGAGTCATTCAATGAGGAAAACCCTCCTTCAAAGCCCCTGGCACAGCATTACCCATCTTCTAATAACGCAGGGGGTTGGGGGCAGGATGGCATTCAAGACAACTCTCTCATATGGCAATCCTTCCTTAAATGGAGGAGATATCTGCTTCCAGTCATTTCCACACTCTGAAACAGTCCCTCCTTCACACAAGAAAGATCAAATACATAAAAGCAGCTATTACCCTTCATTCCAATTTTTAGCCCAAACAAAGTATCTCCAGCTCCTTAATTAGCTCCTATGTTGGAACAAAAAAGGTATAAGTGATATAGGAAAACTGGAGAACCAACAGAACCTTTTCTTTCTGGGCCAATATTAGCCCAAGAAGCAGATAAAACAAGTTCGGGCTTGTGGTGGATAAAATATGACCATAAATTCTTTGCTACTCTTCCCCCACCAAGGTGGAGTTTAAGTTCGCTCCCAGAGCGACTCTGGGCTTGGCCCCGTGACTTGCTTTGGCCAGTGGGAAATCAACAACTGCAAAAGCGAGTGAGATGTGACAGCAAGCACTGGAGCCTGCCCTCTTAGAATGGGGCCCTGGGACCGTCATGCTGTCAGGAAGCTGCTCCAGCCTCCTGGAACACGAGAGGCCATGTGGAGGAGAACCACACAACCACCAGTAAGCAGCTGCCAGACGTGAGTGAGGCCATTTGGGATCATTTAGCCACTCCAGTCATCATCTGACTGCAGAAACAAATAAGTCTAAGAAGACAAGCAGAAAAACCACCCAGCCAAACCACAGAATTATAGAAATAATATTTCATTGTTGTTTTAAGCCACTAAGCTTATAGTAGTTTGTTACACACCAACAGATAACTGATACACTCCTTCCTATAAACATCTCTTTCATTCTCAATGGAAAGAATCTCATATCCTTTACTCCTTCGAGGGGCCTAAAATCAATAGACACTAACCAATAATGATGATGATAATACCATTTTTAAGCATCTACCCAAGGTATCAGGTTCTATGCTAGAGGATTTATATATACCATCACTAACTCTCCAACCAATACTATAAAGTAGTTATTAACATCCCTATTTTACAGACGAAGAAACTGAGGTAGAGTAAGGGTAATTTCCCAAGGTTACGTGGCCAGTGAGTTTCCTTTCCCCACCTTCAAACCCTTGTTATTACCAGTCTGGCCTAGTTCTGTTCTGACTCAAGGAAAGGAGGTCAGATTTCATGCTTAGCTAGGAAGCAACAGGCAAGAGAGCAAAGTCTTCATTCCTGGGAGAGGAATGATCCCATTCATTCAAGACTGTCTACTGTGATTTTCAAAATCCATATTATATAAAAACTTCCCCTTCAATTGGAATTGTAGAAGATTTCTAACAAATAAGTATGTACTTCTTGAAGGTAATTATGCAACAAAGGCTTAGCACACTGCAAAGTAGGTCACAAACTCCTTTGTATGAAACCCACAGGATGAAAGACACTCAAAGCCCCTAGGCATAAAGCGGACTGGGTCCTCTCTCTTCTCTTTTTTTCTTTAATTTAAAAAGAAAGTAACTGATGATCCCCTTACATTTATTCTTACTAAACTGGATTTTTTTTGTACCTGTTCCCCATGCTTCTGAGCACTTTCCCCATCTCTGCTTTCATAGGTATTCAGGGAATATCAACCACATAGTTCCAAATTCACAAGGTACAAAAGCGCAAGGCCTCCTTCTCACTTCTGCCCCCCAACCACCCAGGGTCCCTGCCTAAAAGCAAATAACGTCACTAGTTTCCTGTGCATCTTTTCAGAGATATTTTTAACTACCCAAGCAAGTAAGTATACGTGTTCTTCTCCTTATACTCCCAGGAAGAGTTTTCTAAGCATTTACAATTAAATCATAAAAAGAGAAATCAAAAGCAAACTAATAAAAATACAGTCAAAAGTTCATATAGCAACAGAATTAGATAAAGACTTTATATTTTTTAAAATGCAGAAAACTCACAAAATAAACAAACAGGAGGAGGAGGATTTGGAGGACTTGGAAGACGAGGAGTAAAAATCTCTTCCTTCCCCCCACATCCTGCCCAGGCTCTCTACTAGGAAGAAGGTGACAAGGAAACTGAGGTCTGAAGTTACCCTGGAACCTGTGGACACAGAGGGGGCCTATGGCTGAGCTAAATACAAACCAGGCCTGTTATATGTAAGGCATTATTGGAAGGCACTGGGACACAAGAATAAAAGGGACTCAGCACCCAGCCACAGCGAGCTTATGGACTAGTGCAGCACCTACTCACAACCCCCTTCCTCAGTTCTATAATCACCATTCAAGAGAGGCGTCAACAGAGGATTACCTCATAGCAGTGGTGACATCAGAAATTACTCAGAATGTAACACTATTGCTAAGCTTAAAAAAAAGTTCAACCTTCACACATTTTCCAAAATAATAAGAGAAATGTAAAAATGATATAGAAGAAAACGGAGGTGAGGTTAGAATAGCCAAGCACCTTTTCTTTTCTCAATTTATCAAGCTAAGTTTTCCGCTTTACAAAATCTCACTATGAAAGCTCTGGACTCACTAAATGCTATTATATCAGTCCCTGGGAAAAAGGACACACTTCAGGTATTTCTGGAAAATGCCCCAACTCCTCTCAAACCCAACCCCAAATGCAACAGGCCTTTCCACTCCCCAACATCACCGTTCTCTGTCCCCACTACAGTAGTGAGGTTCCAAGCATCTCAACCTCTTCCTGCCACATCATTTTGGTCTATAGGGGCAAAGCAATAAAAGGTCAAGATAGTCACTCTCCTTTAAAACAGCACCCTGCAAAGTAGAAATTAACAAAACAACCTTTCCCAGGACAACAGCCCAACTCTGCCGCAGGCCAACAGGAAGAAGTTAAAAACTACAAGCTTCAACAAGAATAAAGAAACACACAGTACGACAGTCTGATGTAATTAAAAGAACAATAAAGTTGAGAATTCCAACCTCTAAAGCCTTCTCAAGACAACACTTCCTGAGTGGCACTGGGGAGCATATTGGCTTCAAACACCTTAAATAAGATTAAGGATGGAAAGGGCTGGGACAGGGCATTTTTTAAAAATATCATCTCTCTCTATCCCCTTACGTATCATGAGTACTCTGTGGCACTTAGGTACACCACTATACAGAAGTTTTACCAATGGAGGCCGGGGGAAAACAGAACCAGTCATAAGCTCTGCAGCTTCTTAGTCCACCGTAGACTTCTCCGTAAGAGAAGTTACAAGTACCACCATTTTTACTTAGTTGCTTAAAACAACGAGTTAATATTTCTCCTAAGTCTGTGGGCTGGCTGGGCTCAGCCAGGAGGTTCTTCTGCTAATCTCACCTGGGATCATTCATGAAATGGTTGTCATCTGCCAGCCTGACGTGGGCTGAAGAGTCCAGAATGACATCACTCACATGTCTGAGGCATTAATGCTAATTGTTGGCTGGACCTCTTGCCACACATGACCTCTAAACATTCAATAAAATAGCCTGCAGTTCATTATACAGTGGAGCATTCCACTATATAATGGAGCATTCCAAGATGGCAAAGAGGGAAGCTGCCAGGCCTCTCAAAGCCTAGGATCCAGAACTTGCAAACCACTTCTGCCACTTTCTATTGGTCAAAGCAAGTCACAAGGCCAGCCCAGATTAAAAGTGTGAGGAAATGGGGCCTGGCCCCATGCCCATGTAATTAAAGCTCCACACGCTCCACTTCAGCAGCCTGGATTCTCGGGTTCAATCCCAGGCGTGGACCTACCACACTCACCAACCACGCTGTGGAGGTGTCCCACATACAAAACATAGAGGAGGATTGGCACAGACGTTAGCTCAGGGCGAATCTTCCT